AACGGTGAAATAATATCAACCAACCTGCATGAATCTGACCCAAGTAATCGCTTTCCCAACTGACAAAGTCTCTCCATATATGCAGTACCACATTCACAAGCGTCTGTTTATTCTTTCTTGTGTGGTGTTTTTATGCCAAGCTGATATCACAAAAAATTTGCATATATCCAACCAATCTCGCCAATTCTATCTCTGAGACCATGTCTTTCTTAAATTATGGCATTAGGGCGGCCATATTTCTTTTTCCTTTCCTTCACTCATTTTACACACCAGGCATATACATGCTCACTTTGCCACATGAGATAAGTCATCTTCTCTTCTACACTCCTCTTTGATCTGATCATATAACACTGAAATGGTGGTTGCCTTCCTCGAGTGCTTCTACATAAAGGTGGATTGGCCTCTCTCATTATTGGCATCATCATAGTCTCCTTCAACATCCGTTTCCTCTGGTTCCGTAGATGAATAGTCTAGCCCTGCACTGAGAACAGTGGTGAATTTGAGTCACTTTCGGACGACTTATCACTGCTGTCGTCTTCTGACGATGCAGATCTCTGATGCGGGCAGAAGTCTCTGATATGATAAGAACTGAATGTGGAATATGAAACCCTGTCACTGTTCCTTTTTTGAATTGCATTGAACATCAACCATGTGGGGGTCTTTACCCATACTGCATCTCCTACTCTGTAGATTCCAGGATCTGTGTGTTCAAGTGGTGATGCAACATCGATACCCTTTATGTGGATTTGGTAGTTGTATATGGAGTTAGCTGGTACTGACAAAGCTGTTGCATCGTCTTTTGGTATCATGTTATACCAATATAATACCTCCATAATGAAATATCCCAACCAAGCAGCAATACGCTAGATGGTGCAATGGCATCTCTCCACAATGTCATTCCCTGATGGTTGATAGGCACACCGGAATCAAAGTTGGATGCCCCAGTTCGCTGCAAATGCCTTCTGACTATTGTTGATGAGCAACTTTGCAGATGGCCCACTCTTGCAGAATAACGATTCCAGCTGTCAAATGATGCTGGCAGCACCCTGATGTGGTAACCGCCACTATATGGAAAACTGACTAGGGCCACAGTCAATCAGAGTCAGGTAATGCTGACCTTCATAATGTGTTATGTCCATCCCCACCCTACTACAATTCTTGCACACATCCATGTGTCCAGCTTTCCAATGCACTGACACACTTCACACTCTCCAACCACCACCCAAACAGCTGCCTTTGAGACCTCAGGGTAGATCAGTCTTACAAAATACAAGGTGCGCTTCACACCAGGATGTCCACTACATCAATGGATAGCTTGAATGTGGGTGGATTCCTGCTCTTCTATAGATGCAGTCCACACTGGTTACATTTCTTCCCAAACCACACCCATTCAATGTTGAAGCACTTTTGTGATCTTCAGGTCAACCACAGTTGCTCTATTGCAGTACCATGTTTATGCATCAAGATCGTGTTGAGCTCTGCCAGCTATGCTTGCCTTCATGTTCCGATTGCAGCCAACAGGCACCTTCAACAAGGGTTTCGCTGCTTTCCACAACAACGCTGGTGGCCAAGGAGCTTGCATCAACCCATACGATGACTGTGTCCATCAACACACCAATCACTCTGTGCCAGATCCTTCTGTGCCAATCTGGTAACGATATCTGTCATCATACGAGTCAAGGGTGGGTCTCACCTCATCACAGAGTTCGTGCACCATTTTATGAATGCAGTTGCTACATGGAGCCAGCCACATACTGGCAAATGTCCAGTCAACTTCCCACACAGGGAGAAGAGTGAGCACATTAGCCAGTGGTGGGAGGTCATTTCCACGACTCCATTGCAATTTATACAACGTCTGATCCATCCTGTCATCACTCCCTCAATTTTTGCATGCAAACATACGCATCAGCTGTGTGTGCCTCAACATATTGATTGAGCTCCCAATAATCCATGACCAGGTAGACCTGCTTGTTTTTCTGATCTGCTTGACCCTTATATGTCAAATTCGACGGGAGAATCGAATATATTATATGCACAGTACTTATTGGAAAGTGCTCAATATCAGTGATAGAGCTAACATATTCAGTTATATGGATATGAGTTTGTGATATATTTATTTAAATCTCCTGTATATGACATATGAGAGTCAAGCAGCTCAGTTCGTAGGAACTGACAGCCCAGTCACCAGCACATGATTTGATTATAATGGTGAAGGCTTTGTGCAGAACCAGCCACGCTTTTTGAAGGGCCAAATACAGAGACTTGGTGCACTACATGCCACAAAGTCCCCAAATGACCCTCCTCAGGTTTTGAATTCAGAGTTATCCTTATACTTGACTAGTTGCCATCCAAGGCTATAGAACCCAGTCTGCCCTGCTATTTACCCATAGCTGGAGGGAGAAGAGGATTCATACCTTGCCCCAAGGGTATTAGCACATAAATGAATATAATGGATTCAATTGGAATTCAAACTGCTCTGATTCCTCAATCTGAGCCACTAACCATTACTCCACTGTGCCACATTTTATATATATAATTTTGAATCCAGATGCCAGGAAAAGCCAACTAACCAATACTTCTGGCTCTGCTATTGCAGAGCATGTAATAAATAGCAGGAATTTTGTGTTTGATTTTAGTGCGGACTGTTTTTAGATTTTATCTAGGTCCCACTCCTCGTATCACCTCAAGGTTCTAGATTCCTTGTACATCAGATCCCATGGGACTTTCCTTTGTAAACAGAGGGAATGCTTACTGGGTCTGAATGTTATTGGACTCTAGTTTTCTTGAAATCCCCCCCCCTCCATTCATTATATTAATTTACATGCTTATATATTTTTTTTTATATCACAGAAAAATAAACTTGATAAGGCTGGGATGAAACTGGTTCTTTTTTAGCTTTTTAAAATGCCATATAAATTTTGCTTATATATATATATATATATATATATATAATTAATGTGAGTAAAACCTTCAGCATCCTGACTCCAGGTTTTTGTTGGCAGACCTGTTTGTTCAAAGGGTATCAGCAATTTATATTTGGCAATATCTAATGAGTTTGCTATTCACTACAATAGTAATGGCCAATGAAATTGTGTTCTACTTTTATTCCAAGATTTGTACAAATTTAGAGCTCAGTAATGGTCAAGCAGAGATGATTGTGTAAAAAAAAAAAAAAACTATAGTATAACATACCAAATATTTGTTTACGTTGTTATTTTTGTTATTCTGTATGCAAGACAAAGAAAACATTGAGTGGTAAAAAATATAGTTCTAATGCAAATCTGCTTTCAGATTAAATTACTAATTAGTTAGGACACAAGAGTAAATACATTCTCAAATTTCATCAAGTTTAAAAAAAATAGACAAAAAACAAACTTGCTGTCACCACCATGTTGTGACCCTTCCTAACCAATGGGAACACTACCAAAAAAATATTTAATTTTCCAGCCTGTAGAAGAAGGCACCCAAAGCAACTCAAGGCTGGTGTTGTTACTCACACTGCACACTACTGCTGCTGTAGAGTACTTACATGTCTTTACAAAACTCATATTGCTGGTTGTCAAGAAACATACATTTTCGAGTCACTGTGAAATGGTAATCACTAGCATTTGTGTTAGAAACTAACTAGCACTTAACACTATTTACCTATTCAGTGTAGACATGAAGTAGCTGACAACACAACCTGTTTTATGTTTTTTTATTGTATGTTGGGGTGTCATATAGCTGAGTCCATACTGCAGAGTAGGGCTGGTGGAAGGGTTGTGTGTACCCACTGAATCTAGGATACACCCTCCATTTATGAAATGGGGCCCCCACTCTACTAAATCTCAATTTTCATAAAGATTGTATTTATATAAATTATGAATTTTATTTCAACCTAATTATGTACAATAATGGATTATATGCAAATATTGGTAAAGAACTCAACTAGAAAAATTAAAAAATAAATTCAATGTACCTAAATACAAATGTCATAATATATAATTCCACCTTAATGTTTTTTTGTGGTAATTTTTAACATCAACTTGGGATTTTCTGTGTTAAAAACTTGAATAATTTTAACACATTCAACATTATTGATAAAAAGTATGAGCAAAACAAATTCACATATTTGGACAAAAAAAAAAAAAAAAAAAAAAAAAAAAAAAGGAGGACATCAAAATCCACAAAAAATTTTCCATCCTTTGTCAGTTGTGTTAGGCTTAGTTTAATTTATGACATGTAAGTAGAAAAAAAGCAAATGTTGGTAAGACAGTGAGTATCAAAAAGAACTACTTGGGGTCCCCCAAACAGTAAACAGGGTCATTATTTTTTTAACCTCATTTTACAGATAATTTCTATTGCTTTTTAAGAGGTTGTATTGCAGCATTCAGGTCAAATCTAATCAAACTATAATTCTTTATTTCTAAATCATGTTACTTAATGATTGTAAAATCCTAAGTGGCTCAAGCATTGGCAACAATAAAAAAGAAAACCATAAAAATATAGAAAGAAACAAGACAAAAAAATACATTTTATACAATTAATAAAATTTTATGTATTTGTTCTTTCATTTTCTATATTACTAAGAAAGTTACTGGAAGTTGTTCACAAGACAATCAATTTGTTAGCCTTAGCACAGGTTTGGCAAAAGGCTATAACTCTGTACTTAATGAGGATTGATGTCCCTACAGTCAATGCTGGCTCATGAAAAAGATTGTTAAATGTTATACCACAGCAGAAGATACTTCACAAGGTTAGAATTTGTATGCTGATGGCAACCTATTTGAAATTGTGGTAACAAATTACAGCTGCATCAGACTGGCAGAACAAAATGAATGATCTGGCCTAACATGGAGGTAGAATAAGGCTCTTAACATTAACAAATTTGTACTAGCCATTTGCTTCTCTTTGCTGTTAATATGTTTTGTTATGTTGAAATTTGCCCAAAGTTATACATATATAAAACGTTCACATGTGTTAAGTTTTACACTGTAAATAAATTATAGAAGATCACTTACTGTCAAGAGACTGGTATTCAGTATTATTGACAAAAATCTCTGTGTCATCACTGACTAAACTTGAAATAGACAAGTTTTCTGCAGAGATCTTTTTGTTGGCCTTCTTGTCCAAGCCTGTCACATGGTTCAAATGGTCAATCCAACTGTTTGCTTCCTGTTCACTGTCAACGAGAAATGAAAATTTCTCCTTCCGCCAATTAATTTCAACTTGACAGCTCTTAGATTTGCATATCTTTTTCTGTATGGTGCTAACATCTTCAAGAATAAAAGTCTTCAACTCTGTACCAGGGTTGTTTTCGTCTGTGAGCTGAAGTTTGGCTGGTGATGTATTTGTCTTGTCATACAATGTGCAGCATCGACCAATCCAGGTCTTTGCCTGAAATTTATACAAGAGAAGATATAATTTAGGCAATTTTTTGGGTTAAAAAAAAAAAAAAAAAAAAAAAGATACAATATGCCAAAAACATTTTTAATATAAAATATATGAAAACATCAATATATTTCAAAATCTGATTTGTAAACAATATCAACTCATTTTTGTCAACACAGTTTTTGTCCCTGGCTTGCTTCATTAGTGACAGTGACAAAACTGCTATCAATAAGAAAATGTTTTAAGCTCAAGATTAAAAGAGAAAAAAAAAAAAAAAAAAAAAAGAAAAAAGAATCTTTATATGGGGGTGGGTTGAAAAGTTCATAGGCTGACTATGAAGGAGTGATGCTAGAGCTGTGAAATTTTGCCGGTATTAATTTCAACTCTTCTTATTAATAACTATTGTTTCTTACCCGATAAGCTGACATATGATTGTTCATTGTGTTGGTAAAGTGTTTTTTCATTTTTGGGAATAAAGGATTCCTAGATATTATATTTCTGAGATGAGGTATTATATACACTATTGTCCTCATCTTTGTTGCCATATTTATCACAACGTTTCAGCCGTTATATGCTCCAGCCTTCTTCAGGTGGTTGGAATGTCAAACTGAACCCTTTATTTTACTCGCTGGGGTAAAAATTCATACTCAGATGTCCTTAAGCACACATGCCACAGTGGATAAAGGTGTTAGTTAGATCCAGTGACAGGACCAAAGAGTGTGAGTTCAATACCTGGTTAAGGCGGTGGAGAACTTGGAGAGGGGAATTGACAGGAGATAACTGATAACTGACATCCATTAGAAATGGCATGTGGAACTAGAACAGTCTACCCCAGCGAGCGAAATAAAGGGTTCAGTTTGACATTTCAACCATCTGAAGAAGGCGGGAGCATACAACGGCCAAAATGTTGTGATAAATATGGCAACAAAGATGAGGACAATAGTCCAAATAATGTAAATAGTGTAGTCAGATATTAGTTTACCTGAAAAGAAAATACAGTTATTAGTAAAAAGATTTGAAATTAATGCATGCAAAATTTCACAGGTCTAGCATCACTCCTTCATAGCCAGCCTATGAACTTTTCAGCCTACTCTCATCAATTGTACACTCAAAGAAAGCATTCAAAAGAATTAGCTGGAACATTGTAGCAATAATAAAAGAAAGAAAATTGTTCAAAAAGCAGAACATGATCAATTATACTCGATTAAATACTTATTTTTCTTAGCCATTGTAATTAGTATTTTCTTTAAACAATTATTAGATGAAATTTCACCAAATAATCAATTATTTTATGCCATAAAATATGCACAGAGCATATTCGATGCTCTCATTTCAACAGGGCATATTCAGGAAAAGATTTTAGTGTATTTAAGCAATACATGCTTAAAGCATGTAAACTACAAAATTCACGTCTGATGATTTAGATTTCTAATATGTCTGGCCATAGTCAAAAGTTATTGCTTGACAATGAAGAAATAAAGGCAGTTGTGGAGGCTCATCCAGAAATATACACACAATGGGAGCAAAGCTGGATGTCACCCCCATATAACAGAAGACATCTGGATGAAATCAGGTGATTAAAGAAAATGCAGAAGTTGGTACTCCATAATTTGACTACTGATCAGCAACTAGCACAGGTTTACATTTGCTGCAATTTATTTATTTATGCATATATAAATTATACCCAGCACCACACAAATATATGAATAAATAAATAAAACCTACCAGCAAAAATTCCTGTACCCTTAACTATTAGAGTGAATATCCAAATTACTATAAAATAGCAATTATAAAAACCTAATAAACCATGCAAAAATTAATTCATCCACAAAACAGATTTTCTACAAGAATATAAAGTAAAATACTCATCAATAATAACTTCCCTAATTATATTGTTGATGAACAAATAAGATGCTCCATCAGAGATCTTCATATAGAACATATTACTTCTCCAGCTAACCCCAAACATATCAACAATAAAAACTAATACATCCACCACAGATCCTAGTAAAAAAAATAAAATTATTTAGATACTACACTAAATCCACTATATCTAATAAAATCATTTGTAATAACTCTTCCCCACCCACTAGCGTGATGCAGAAAACCAACACTGTTTATAAATTTAAATGTCCTCTGGGAGATTGTATCTCCAACAGTAAAAAGATATATATTCTTGTTGGACACACAACAACACTCTCATGGCGGCTAAGTTTTCATTTGAATAATACCTCCATACTATTTCACACACACAAAAAAAAAAAAAAAAAAAAAAAAAAAAAGAAAGACACAAACTAAAAATTCTTAAAGCTATTTATACTAAAAAATTGAAACTAAACCTTAATAAAATTAAATATGAATTCTCCACAAACGTCTTAAATGTGTACAACAGATAGTTTGAAATGACAAGTTTGTGCTAATAGTATTTTCCATTCTTTCTACTACTTGCTTTGTAAAATCTAGCCATGCAATGATGCAACACTTCTCACTCCACATAAGAAATTTAATTTTCAGATGATCACAATGTCTTTTACACCAATGAACACTACAATATTTATCCTGTAATTAACAATACCCTGATGATGACATTTTGCTATGTCGAAAGTACTCAGTAAATAAAATATGTATCAAGTGTTTTCCTCGTCTTTCAATAATCACACAAAAAAAGCTTATCCATGAACATGAAAGGATCCTATCAAGAATAAGTAGACAGAATATGTCTAAGTTATTCAACAAAACATGTCTCAAATATGTGATAAATATAGAATATCTTAAAACTATATTTTATGTGTAAAAATGCTCAATATCATAGAGAGCATATGTAAATATATGTGGACACTGAGGTCAACAGTGTTTCATGTGTGAATGCAATCTTCAGGCCATGTGTGGTGTTTTAAGCTCAACTATTTACATATGCTTACCAGTGGTGCATTATGGGTAGCAAGGTCTATTGTATTAGCCTATTGATTATGGGGCAGACAATAATGGTTAGGTTCCAAGTTATTCTAGAGGCTACTGAGTAGGGATAATTGTGAATCGAAATAGTTTTGCAGGTAAAAGTAAATTTCCTAGGTGTTGCAGTCAACCTAAGAAAAGATACATATCAACTATATAGAAAACCCAACAAACCATTTTCATATACACATATTCTACCCACCCACCAACAAACAATAATCAATCAGATTCTACAACCAATCAACCTCGGGTTATCTGACAATTCTTCCAATGAAATCATCAATGAAACCAAAAAAGATTATGAAATAGCCCTAAAATGCTTACATACACACTACACACATAGTACAAAAAATGCTAACAGGAAAAGAAATATTGTATCTCGCATTTGAGATAACAGAGGGAAACAAGACAAACTCGTATGTAAGTGTAGCGATTGCCGTTTTTCCACGCCCACATTTTATTTGCCTGTGATTGGCTAATAAATCACTACTACTTTTATATAGGACAATTTAGCCATCGCAATCGTTTCTTTGAATCCTTAGTACGCTTGTAGTGATTGGTTAATTTTTAACCAATCACATATTTTAGTGCAAGATTAAGTTTTCCCATGGGAGCCTACTCTTTTCTCATAAAGGAGGCGACTTTCACAAGTCATCAGTAAGATCCAGTAAAATTCACCTGTCCATACAAGTCCATGATCTTACTCATCACGTTAAATGCACACAGACAGAATTTCATAATATAAATTTACAATTCTCTCTGTGACTTTGCCAAGCTCAATCAACCAGGACTGTGGATTTCTAACCATTCTATAACACATTTTTGATCAATTATATTTTTGTGTTATCTATTCTAACGAACAGACCTTGTTCTAATATTGATTCCTGAAAAAAGAAAAAAAACTTCCTTCGAACAATCAATTACAAATCAAAATACAATTAAAGGGGAACAACTTCTTTCCCTTAATCTATACATTGAATACAATTTTATTGCATGTTTATTCTTGTATGTTATTTCAATATATACTTGTTGATTCACAGTAGTTTTTGTTGTTTACTTGAATACCGTACATTGAAAGTATAATATAAATAGTATTGGACATAACAGCAACTGAAGGATTCTGGAAATGGTAACTCTGCACACAAAACATCTTTTACAAATAGTAAATATGAGAATAGTATAATTCTTTCTAAACATATATGGAGAAATTAAAAATGAATAACATGTTTTACATGGAAAATAAGAAAAAAACAGCACCAGCCTACAATAATACATCCAAAAAGTAAACTCTCTGGAGGAGAAAACAGCTATAATCACCTCCTCAGACCAACACAAATTACTAAATAAATGATCAGAACTTATCTCAAACTGCAGACACAAAAACAAAACTTTACTACATTACTTAAAAATTTAAAACAAAGTGAATACCTTGTAAAATAACAGCATGATAAATGTAAATATATGCACTTTATACAATGCAGATAATGTAACATACTTTAGAGAAAGCCAATACTTTAAACAAATAAGAACCAACTGCAGCAAATAAAAAAAAAAAGGGACAAAAATTATTTAAATAAAAACAAATTAAGTAGATAAATATACAAATTAACAAACTGAATGCATATATAGACAAATGTAATATTAACAAATAATTAAGTAAATTAATAATAAATATTGAATAAAAAGTTAAACAACACTATAAAATAGTTACAAATAACTGCATTTGGATTCACAATTATCTGAAACTTAACCATTACCACCTACCTATAACTATTAGGATAATACAATAGACCTTGCTACTCATAATATACCATTGACCAACATATATAAATAGTTGAGCTAAAATACAATTGAGCGGATTTATTTAAAGATAAATCCTGCTACTTAAACCATAAGTAGGAGAAGAAATTAATTTGTACTTTTCCAAGGCATATTATTGAAAATTGAGTGCAAAAAGCTTTACTACAATTTGGACCTGGATTACCAATTGATAACTGCTACATCACCTTTTGTAGAACCCAAATTCCTATTGTGAAATTATTTAAAATCAG